TAATCCAGAAGAAATAAACCAAGTTGCTGCCGAGGATTTTGAGATGAGTGCCATAAATGTGGCCCACAGACACTTCAGGGAACTGTATCTTCAAAGAGTCCTTCTATCCTCAGAATAACCACACTAGGTTATAAGAATTTATTCTAAAACATCCACATATGGAGAACGTTGAGGTATTCAGGACACTGAACTCCTAAGGATAAAGAATAAAGTGGAACCTTCATTTCTAAGAAATAGTCTGAGGTCAAAATGAAGTCTTTATCCGTGAGCAATAAGGAAACAAGGCTAACGTAATTCTTAAGAATTATAAGCTCTAGTAGTATTAAAAAAACAGCATCCTTTGGTCACTGATAATAGATAAACAACACGTTACAAGAAGTAGAGTTCTAAATTATCTCCTATGAAATAGTGAATAAATTCATTTGGGGGTACCCCTCATATGGCACATGTTACACAAAAGAATGCAAACATGAGAAATCACAGTTCCTGTTATTCCAAAGAGCTAACATTATAGTAGGGGAAAGTCCGCGATGAAAGAGAATGTCCTCCAAAATATATGAAAATCAGAGACCGGCAAGGAAAGTACTTCTTTATGATGAACAATAAAGAAAATGTAAGAGAAAAAAAGATAACAAAATGGAAAAATTTTTAAATTAAACTTTCAAGGAAAGTCATGATTAAAATTAGACATGGGGAAATATGGAAGGGCTTTCTTACCATGAAACTTAATAAAGAGCTCAAATTGATAAGGAGTAAAGAATACAAACAAATGTGATATTAATGAATACAAATAGCAAAAATATGAGGATTTTCTACCCTCCCTAGTAATCAAGGATCATAAAACTACATATGAGTAGGATTTTCTGCCATCCAGATAGGAAAAGATTAAAAAAATTCATAATAGCCAGTATAGGACAGAATAAGGAGAAAAGAAATTCTCATATATAGTTGTCGATATATCCTCTCTGAGAGGCAATTTTGCAACAGGTATCCAAATTTTAAATGTATAGATCCTTTGACTGAGCAATTGCCCATCTGGGAGTTATCCTAAAACAAATTCCTTATATATTTTTTGAAATGTTCATACATGGAAGTGTATGACAATATAACTTAGTAATAGGGAAAAAGTTGAAAACAATATAAATTCCCATATAATGCAATGTTACATAATTTTTAGCAATAATGAAAGAAATTCATAAGTTTTGAAATGAAACAATGTTCACAGTATAAACTGTTATGGAAAAACACACACACCCCTATGCATCGGTAAAAACATGTAATACATGTAAAGAACTTGAATCAGGCCTGGGACATAATAATATGAGCAAGTTTTACGCAAATATGAATAGTTAAGGGGAAAAAAATCTGGAAATATGTACCATATATTTTTTTAAGTTGTTGTGGGGTCTTTCAGTGAGAATTGGAAAACCTGCTAGACAAATTCTAAAAGAGCTGTAACACTACACTAGAAATATATACCATAAACTGTTAATATAGGATATATAGTACATGCTCAATATCTGACGAAGGATAAAAAGAAAAGAAAAAGGTAGTCAGGTTTATCTCTGCTAAAACAGGACCATGTGGGCCCGGCGCAGTGGCTCACGCCTGTAATCCTAGCACTCTGGGAGGCCGAGGCAGGCGGACTGTTTGAGCTCAGGAGTTCGAAACCAGCCTGAGCAAGAGCAAGACCCCGTCTCTACTAAAAATAGAAAGAAATTAATTGGACAACTAAAAATA